TCGGTGAGCGCACACCCCCTATAGCAAATATCTCTCAAAAAAAAAAAAAAAGAAAGAAAGAAAAAGAAAAGAAAAGAAAAAGAAAAAGAAAAAAGAAAGAAAGAAAGAAAGAAAACCTGGAACATGGGAAGTAACTCACAGAGAGAATGCATTAAACTGGGTAGTAGGTTAATAAGGAGACCAAAATTTTCAGTATCGTGGCAATAAGAAAAGGACCCAGGGGCGAGACCAGCAGTTAGTGTAATGGCTATGTTGCTGGACTCCCATGTAGTCGACCGCAGTTCGCGTCCCGGACCTGGTGGCTTAAACTCATGCCGGGCGCGTGTGCGTGCGTGACCAAGATCCCGAGAGGAGAATGGAGGAGAAGGGATTGCGGCATGGCCATCTCCCCCGGGGAGTGATTTCTCGCTTTCTGTCTCTCTGCCTCTCTCTATCTGTCTGGTGAGAGCACATGCACTATAGCAAAAACCTCTCCAAAGAAAAAGAAATAAAAAGAAATAAATAAATAAATAAAACCTCTCCAAAGAAAAAGAAAAAAAAAAAATAAAAATAAATAAAAGGACCCAGGGGCTGGGTAGTGCAGTATGGGAGTGGAGTCAGGTAGGTGGGGAGAGGACAGATCACACAGGATTTTGTCTGCCAAGTATTAAAGGGGTTTTTGTAATCCTTTATGCCAACATCCCAAAATTAAGATCAAAGTTCTAGAGAGTTTTGTATGTTTATATGCTAAGGGTCTCTTCAAAATTAGACAACTGTCTATACCAAATGGAATGTGCTTCTATTGCCAACAGTTCTATGGCATTAATTAAACTGTCTAACTTCAGCTGATTTTTTTTTAAGATTGAGAACATTATATAAGTTCATGCTTAATTGTCTGTTAAAGAATATTTATACAATGTCTGAGTGCTCATTAATTATAACCTCCTTTAGGCTGAAATTCTATTTAAACACCCTTTCTTTTTTAACTATTTTAAGAATGCTAGAAGTTCACATTGAATTGGAAGTGAAGGGAAAAACACACTATACCAGGGCACAGGGGATTCTATTATGAACCTGTTTCTTCTGTCAAATAATAGCAATGCCTACCTCACAGAGTCGTGCTGAGGGTTAAATGAAACATACAAAGAAGCTAACTCAAGTTTATTAGTCAGAGCTCAGTAACAGTCCCTACTCATTACTGTTATTACTATCACCTCTACATCATTACCATTAGTAATGCATTTGATAACGTTCTTCCATTAAGATCACTTTAACTGTATTACAATCCTAACATAAATTTAAAGTGCTAAAACACTCACACAACAGAGAATCTCACAAAGACCTACAAGTAATAAATGAAATAATACAAACATATCATACACACACATACACATGTGGTTTTGTGGTTTGTTTTGTGATGGATCTTAAATTTTAACTTAAATTGTACTAAATAATTCCAGGTTCAAGCATCTAAGAGAAGACCTAGTGGTAGCACTGCCAGATTCAAGGGTGGGTGGGAATCACATCATTTATTCAATCAACTATTGTTACTGAGTGCCAACTATGAGTCAGGTGCTGTTCTTTATATTATTGACACTGGCGTGAGCAAGATAGTCCTTGCTCTGAGGGAAAGAAGACAGTCCTAGCTCTCACAGAAAGAATTACCTTCCAGTGGAAAATAAAGAAAACAAGCAAGCTAGGATGGAAAATGGTAAGAGAAATAGATGAGAAAATGAGATACTTTACAACAGTAATAAACGTTTTGAAAAATATAAAACCAGAGGACTTGATAGTGAGAGAGGCTTGTCAGAGGTGGGTGGGCTACCTGAGATGGAGTCACCAGGGAGGACCTCTCTGATGTTAAGAGCCATGAGGAGAGTCATGGTCCCGTCCTTAAGGAACTTGTGTGCAGCAAGGCAGATATTCAAACTGACATCTCCGCTTGCCTGTGACCTGTTGCTCATTGCTGGGTGTCAGAATATAGCTGGCACTTAACAAAGAATGACTGAAGTTTAACAAATTTCGAAGCTATCTGGTCAATGTGGTGAATCTGTGAATACCTAAGCTTGTCTCGGAAGAGTCAGGGAGACTCCAAAGGAGAGAACACGTGAACAGAGACTTTAATGAGAGGGTAATCAAGACTGGTTATGATTTGTAAAGGAAGCAGTGTAGATGCAGAGACCAAAGACTGGGATTAAACAGAACTATAAATAATTTAGAAGCCCTGGGAATCAAAGTGGGAAGTAAAAAGAGAGGCATGAGTTCAGGTGGTTTGTTCCAGGCTAAGGAGTTTATAAACCTACCTACAAGGGATGGGACTGTTGAAGTCTTGAAATAAATCAATTGGAGTATTCAAGTGACTGCTCACTCTGTTAGCAAGTGCAGGAAAATAAAAGTTCTGCTCTGTTTTGTTGTTGTTGTTGTTGTTTGTTTGTTTGTCTTTGATCCTTTAATTCAATTTGCTCCTATGCAAAGAGCATAGGATTTGGATTCAGAGAAAGTGGATCTGAAGACTTAGAAAGCAATTAAGACAGGTTTGTTTTAGAAGAGAAGTTTGTTCCTTGAAGGCATTCTTTTAATTCTATTGGATATACAAAGTAGTGAGCTATTTTAATAGTGACATAATTTTTATGTCAATAAGATTCTAGCAGCAATGTTTAAAATACATGTGTATATGACAATAAGATACTGAGTCAGAGAAAAAAAGCAGTTCATGACTTCATAGTCATAGCCTATATATCTGTGAAATTTTTAGTTCTCTAACTACTTTACAGTGGAGAGGGGTTTCATGATGTGGGTCAAAGTTAAGCCTACTCCATTTTGTTATTTCCAAATCCTCACAATAGAAATAAAATAGCTCAAGAAAAAGATGTATTTCTATTCTGTCTTGTCTCTGTTGTGAATTTTGGTTTCATTCTTAATTGCTTTTGTTGCTGTTAGTTTCTTTCTCCTTGTATTTAAACACAGATAATTACTTTTCAACAGTACAATTGCATTTGCTTGGAATTTGTGTAATTGTGTACTCGCCTTTTCCAGTTAGGTGCTGAAGAGTTTCTTTTTACTGCTGAAGTATCATTGGACAGCTCCTGTTCTTCTTCAAAAGAACACAGACAAAACAAAAAAAAAATCACATTTCAATGATCACACAATAACGTGAACCAAAATAAATGTTGGCAGTTCATTTACTACCTGTGTATAATTTGGATCTGTATTCGAACATATATTGGTAAAACAACACTAACTTAAAGACAATTTATAGTATGTTCATGAGTAATTTATAATTATGTTTAATAAATGTATACAGTGTATACAATAATCTAAGAGCCTCTATAACCTGGGAGTTTTTTGGTAATTTTTATTCATGCTTATTACTAGTACATGGATGACTGATCAGGACAGTCCAGATTCCCTACTCCCACTAGCCGCTGCTGAGACAAGCACCTGTTTTTATTCTAGTATCCCAGTCTCTCTCATTTTGAGTTAAAGTTCAAAGATATTCTGACAGACGCCAATTAAAAACGTGTCTTCAATAGAGAGCTGAACTTTAAAACAGGAGAAGTCCTGGAGTCATCTGGATTGTCTTTTCACTCAGGGAACCTCAGAATTCTAGGTTCAGGGGCCAGCAGTTAGCGTAATGGCTATGTTGCTGGACTCCCACGTAGTGGACCGCAGTTCGCGTCCCGGGCCCAGTGGCTTAAAATGCCAGGCGTGTGTGCGTGTGTGCGTGTGTGCCCAAGATCCTGAGAGGAGGATGGAGGAGAAGGGATTGTGGCGTGACCATGCCCCCTGGGGGGTGATTTCTCGCTTTCTGTCTCTCTGTCTGTCTGGTGAGCGCACACGCCCTATAGTGAAAACCTCTCGGGAACCAGCAGTTAGCGTAATGGCTATGTCACTGGACTCCCACGTAGTCGACCGCGGTTCGTGTCCTGGACCCGGAGGCTTAAAACTCACGCCAGGCGCGTGTGCGTGCGTGCCCAAGATCCCGAAAGGAGAATGGAGGAGAAGGGATTGCGGCGTGACCATCCCCCCTGGGGGGTGATTTCTCGCTTTCTGTCTCTATGTCTCTCTCTGT